CCCCAAAACCCCAAAACCCCAAAACCCCAAAACCCCAAAACCCCAAAACCCCAGAGGAAGGTGGGGTAATAGAATAAATAATTAATATGTCATGAGATCTGACAAAGGGAGAAATGTTTGCAGTGATATATGCTCACTTTATGGGAGCTGCGTTCCAGGCATTGATGGTTCTTGGAGTAGTAGTATGATATTCATATTGTGGAAATGATGGAGAGGGATATGCAAGATTTTCTAAGTCTTTTGGAAGCAATATTAGCCATGATATGATCGATGACAATCAAGAAATCATGTAATTATATTTTATCATTTCAAATTTACTATCAATTCCAGCTTTCTTCACCTAATAACAACATTAATTACTCTCAAGTTTAGAGAATTTTCCATTCTGTGTTTGACATTAAGAATAGGCTGAATCCTGAGAGAAATCTGATTGATCCTGAAGGTAGTTCTGACAGATTAATACTTTAGAAATGACAATATGGAGCAAATTTGGCTATGAAATACTTTTCATGGCAGCCAACCTCTCTTATTATATAGCTGTTTTTGTACTAATTTTCACAGCTACAAAAACAGATTTTGAAGATACTTGGACATGCAAACCTGTTGGTTTGTTCATCTACATAATCTCATTCATTGTAATCAACAGAGACTTCTGAATAATAATGTACAGAATGCTTGAATATGGTTACTATCCGCCTGTCCATATCCCGATCTTTTTCTATCTTTTCATAATCTGACTTTTAGCCAATGATATCTCTATATTTGGGTGAATGGTAATACTTTCAAACTTCAAGAGGATCAGAGAATTAGAAGATTGGAAGCATAATTTCATAGCAATTGTCTTGAACCATTTCTTTCAAATTTTATGAATAATTGGGAGCTTCTTCATCAAACCCTATTTTGAGTTCTTCACCAACAATATCTTCACTGTTGTTCTCCAGAACCTCTTTTGGCTTTCTCTGGTGCTGTACACTTTCATCAGACAGAGAAGAATCCATGAGACAAAGGATGGACTCAAGTCTTGGTTTGAATGGGCAGCAACTCTGTGTATCAGTCTCCATCTGACATTCACAGCAAATTACTTTTACATTTTTGAGAGTGGCTACCATTCAACTGCAGTCAAAGTTGTTTTGGTTGTGGTGTTTGCTTTGATTCATATATCATTAATAAGCACTTACATGATTCATCAGTCATACTTTTTAGGCTCATATGTCCCATATTTTAATAGATATTGGAGTAATGAACTTGTTTCTATTCATAAAGTATTAGTAAATAACCATCTTGAAAATAAGGATAACCCTCAGTGACAATACTGTACCAATCTGCTATCAGAGCCATGCCTAGAGTATCTTAGTGAAGAGGAAAGATCGAAGAAATCATACAAAATCTTCAAAAAGCACCCATCAACTTGAATCCAGACAAACTGAAACCAGGTTTTACATCCCCAATGCTTACAGAAAGTTCTGCCTTTCAATAAAAATTGTCCATTTTGAAATAACAGACTAGTTCCGTTTGTCAAAATAAAGAATGTGTACATAAATGTCTGCAGATAACCAAAATAAATTATCCAAGTGATTCAATCTGAATATCTCTGTTTGGGGTTTTGGGGTTTTGGGGTTTTGGGG